CTCAGTTGAACACCTCCCATCTTTCCACTGCCTTTAACCTCCCTCTGCCTTGCTTCTCTTCTCTTGTGGCTACAGGCAGCGCCCTCGGCCCTGCTGGGCTGTGCAGAGGAGCTGCTCCTGGGCAGAGCTGTCTCTCTGCAGTGCTGCCCGCTTGCCAGGAGCTCCCTGTGTGCCAGGAGCCCGGCTCAGCTGAGCAGCACAGCAAGAGCCAAAGGCAGCCCTTTCTCTGCCCCTCTGGGTTCCCCGCAGGTGTCCCTGGGGCTCCAGGGGAACCTGCTGTGGAACAGGCTGAAGGAAACAATAATGTTCCCTCTTCTCACCTCTTCAGTGACTCTTCTTTCCAGCAGTGACATTTCTCCCCTTAGAAAATTAACAGGGTAAGATGATCACCTTTTCTAGTTTCATCATTACACAGGACACCAGGAGAGTGACAGTAAAGGATCTGATAACTCCCTGGCACAGTGGGGGTTTTCCTGGAATCACACACAGAAATGTGTCAGGGCTCTGAGAGGTGTCCACCCCTGAGCTGGACTGATGCACTGCTCACACACACTGGGGTGTTCCGAGACACGAGTCCTTCCCTTGCACACACACAGGCAGTTCATTGCAGCAGGGGCAGGGTCTCCCTGGGCTCCTGCTGCCACTCCCAGAGCCTGGAGCCACCTCTTACCTTGTTGTGCTCCCACCCTGCCCACTCCTACACTTCAGAAGAACATTGGGGTTTTCTACTCAATGGAACTGCCCAGTCCAGCCCCTCCCCGGTCCCCCCATCTCCCTGACCCGCCCCAGCCCAGCAGAGCAGCACAGTCATTTCTGGTCCTGCAGCAAGAAAGGGAGGAAATAGAGGACAGGGACAGTGACTGCGTGTCTGACCTGCTCAGGAGATCATCAGCTCAGCCAGCAGCTCCTGCAGCCCCAGGGCCAGACCCTCTTCCCAGTGGCCCAGGCAGATGCTGCCACATGGGCACAAGCTCTGCCGCCCAGGAGGGTCCTGTAGTGCAGGGCTTTGCAGATGGCCACTTAGTGGTAGTAGGACATGATAGTGAGAAGGGCAATCTGCGCTGTGATCAAGAAGAAAAGCACAAAACACCTGTGCAACTCATCCTGAGCAGGAGATGCCCCTGGTGTTCCGGAGGGAATTGGCCATGGCTTTGGGGACAGTGGTGCAGATGCAGCCCAGGTGCGTGAGGGAGAGGTGGAGCAGGAAGAAGTCCTTGGGGGTGTGCAGGTGGTGGTGGCAGGCTACGGCACTGAGGATGAGGCTGTTGCCCAGGAGGGCAGCCAGGGAGATGCCCAAGAAGAAGCAGAAGTGCAAGAGCTGCAGCCCTTGCATGCCAGGAGGAGGAAGTGGGGGATGGAGCTGTTGTTGGAGATGAGCTTCCTCCAGGCATCAGGAAGTGTCCAAGGAGGAAAAGGCAACGAAAACTTTGGGGACAGATTTCCTAGACCAAAGCCCATTAATTCCTCTGAGCATCTACCCTCATCCCAAGTATCTGCAGTCACACATATGTAGATTCTGGACTGTAGAAGACAGGCTTAGCATGACTTTAAGATGATTTCTTCTGAATTTTTTGATTTATTTTTCTACTGCCAGGTCTGACAGCTGTGTCACAGTGACACGGGGAGCATCGTGGAACCAAAGGAACCCTGAGACATTTCAGAATCCCACGTGTGTTGGGTTTGTCTGAGCTGGAGTTCATTTTCTCACTGCAGCCATCACAGTGCTGTGCTTTGCATTGGGAGCTGCAAAGGGGTTAATCACACCAGTGCTTTGGCAACTGCTGAGCAGGGCTGGCACAGCATCCGAATTATCAGCTTCCTCCCTTGAATTGGGGGCAAGATCATGGGAGGGGATACAGACAGGCCAGTTGAGCCAAATGGACCAAAGGGACATTGCAGAATATATGGCGTCAGCTCAGCTACAAAAGCTCAGGAAAGGAACAGGAAAGGCGGGAAATCCATTTTTTTTACAATACTTACCTTCTGAGCAGCGTCTCTGTGTGGTAAAGCCCTGCTTCCTGTCAAGTGGCCAGGCATGGCTGCTGACAGGAAGTAGAGAATAAATCTCTTTATTTTCCTCTTCACTTATGCATGCACAAACTTTGGCTTTTGCTTTAGTAAAGTGCCTGATCTCAAAGTAGAAGTCATTTTCCGTGTTCTTCTGTCTCTCCTGTCTGGCTGGGAAGGGCAGCGGTAGAGCGGCTTGGTGGGCACCTGGCATCCGGACAAGGTCAACCCACTGCAACATTGCAAGGTCTCATGGAACCAAAGGACTGCTGGGACACTGGGGGAACTCACGGAATCAAGCGGCCATCATGACACTGCCCTGCATCATGGAAGCAAATGTTCCCTGGGAAACTACAGAAAACCAGGGAATTAAGGGACATCACTGGAACGTGCGGGACCTCATGGAATTAAACAAAGCCTGGGATATCTTTGGAACTTCATGGAATCAAAGGGGTAAAACAAAAGAATTAAAGCCAATGACCAGAAACCATTGGATCGAACATTTCTTTAATATGCCAGTTGGAGATTCATGGGGGTGCTCTGCCATGCATGAATCAAAGAATCAGTATAAATTTCGGAATATAAATACAGTGATACTTGAAAGACCCCTCTCTTCACAAGCAGTCCATACTTATGATTTTGATGTCAAATAGCGTCTGGGATTGTATTCGTGGAGCAAGACTGCCATCTAGCATCCATTTCTTCTGGGAGGGGCAGTCATTTTCGCAGAGTGGTCTTCTCGCTTAGCAGGCCTTGTAGCATCTCTGATTGATTTATCCGACCTCTAACCCCTAACCTAAATGTTCTAGGACCAGCTAAGACATGTGTCTTAGAACTTCCCATTTGTTTAAACAATGTATAATTGACTTTCTTCTTAACAGGACAATCTCTTATTAAACAAGTTTT